CATTATGGAAGGTAAGGACATCTGCTGATTAGAACTCAAACAAGTAATTGAATGTGTGCGTGTGTGTGTGAACATGTAGTAAAGGGCATTTTGTAAATAAACATTAACACCATTCACCTCACAATTAGACCCTTCTCAATGTCGCCTACACACACTGGTTGAACTCATTCCAGTGTCTTGTAATGACAAATCTAAATGGAGCTTTGCCATAAAAATGCTAGCCTTGCTTTATGTGAGTTTGTGTGGTAGCGTGTGTGTGTGAGCGTGCGTGTGCCTGAACAAGAGAGGACGAGACTGACAGAGAGATAATGGGGCAAACATAAGGTCAATGTTTTTATGAAATCGCTGTCTTTGTCATACTGCATCAGTTCTGACTTTTCTGCATTTAATAGCGCCTTTAATTCAGCCAATGTTAGCCTGCAGCAGCTTTTAACAACTACAATAGTCTTATTCAGCACACACACACACACACACACACACACACACACAGACACACTATATTTGAAAACCTGCTCACACTCAGACAAAGAAGCAGAGATATACGACAAAATCAGGCAATCATTTTCTTTCTGTCTGAGAATGAATAGTTGGGAAGGGAGTCTTTGAGACGCGCACACACACTCCCTGCCCAGTGTTTGTGGTGGCGGAGCACAGCTGGTAACATCTGGATGTATTTTAGAAGTGTTTACATTTCCAAAATGCTGAAAAACTACACAGAAAGAGAGAGACAGAATTCTGAAAAACACTACAGGTGCCAGAAGTGTAATAAAGAAAGGAGCAAGTCCCAAAAGAAGATTGTTTAAAATCTATCACAGTGGAGTTAGTTCACTTACACACACACATGCTCATAACCGTTGGCCAATTGCAGTTATTGCCATAATCCTAGTCCAACAATAACTGACATCTGGTGCACTAATTGGCAGACTACAGCTTCTCCGTCTGAGGTTTGTCCCATCAAGCTTCCCTTACTGTAGCTGCTTGAAGGAAAACTGAGACTTTGCGCTTCAGCTTCACTACGCGTCGCGTCTTTTACTGCTTACCAGCTGACAACCACTCTTACGCACTCACCGCCACACACACAACACAGCAGTTTCCGCTGACACACACACACACACACACACACACACACACACGCAGATGTATGACTACAGACACACACACAAAAAACAGCTGCATTTCCATTTTACTTCCCCTAAATGACGAAAACACAAAAACAGTTGGACTTCATTCAGTGTAATCAAAGCTGACATCGAGCACATCTCTGTGAGGTGACGTCAACAATGAACACACACACACACACACACACAGACACACATATAGAGTCTATAGGATGTAATTTCAATGATTGGGTGTAATTTACTAGTGTAAGTTGAAACCAGACAGGGCAACTAGAGTGATCCCTGCCAGATCAAAAACAAACCATACACAATGGGGTGAGGGGGTCATACACACACACTCATGCACAGGCATATACTGAAGGTATGCTTCAGTATATTAACACACTCACAGTGACTTGTATTCTTTTGGATAGAAAAATGTGTGTGTATGTGAGGTGTTACAAAATGGTGATGTGCTTGAATTTACAAGAAATGAGTATTTGAATATTGTCCCACGCAAAGTGTCCTTGGGATCACTCTAATCCTCTCAGGTATGCCACTTTCCCATGGTCCAACCTAACCTCAGCACACACACACGCACACACAGGGGAGATTATTAAAGCGACCTCGTGGCACATGGAGGTTCCTGATGGATTTAACATCAGGAATGATTGTTAACTTTTAGGACTAAAAAGACTTGGAGTGACTCCTGAGAAAAAAACGGAGCTCTTAGCCAGACACATGGATCACATGACAACTGGGCCGCAGCAGCAGGGACCCCTGGGAAAACGGCACAGTGCCATCTCTCAGATCACACGGACTCAGGAGCCAAGCAGCAGTAATGACGCTGTGCAGCTCTATCATATTTAGGTATGAATATACCATTCACATGTACGGAAGGTTGAAGTGGTTTTGACGTGAATATGTGCATCACAGTCAAGTGGTTAAAATTTAAAAAAAGGAAAAGATAATCACCGTGAAATAAATTAAACCTATTAAGAGGAACATATGCTCAAGGTGACAGAAGAAATTAATTTGGCTCAACTATTGAGACCCATACCTCCACCCCGCTATAGGATTTCTACCAAACTAATTATCACGCTCCACTTTCAGAAATAATAAGGAAAGTACTTAATAGGTTAGGATTCACCCCTGCATTCATATGTCCATTTAACATCCCTGCTTTCATGCCCACACACTCTTGCCTTAATGCAATTTCACATCCGTGATTTAAAATAGGGGAAGGAATTATATTTCAAGTGGTGTCAGGATTAGAATATACAAGCAGTGATATTAAAATACTGTAAGGTCTTCTGTGTGTGCGTCGAGCCTTTGTGAGTGGCTGAAGCGGAGGTAAAGATGTTAAATAATGTTTTTGTCACAGTTTAGGACGACGGAGGAATTACAATGAAACTACAGATCGCTGATTAGTCTACTCTCACTGTATATTAATTTAGTTTCCTCTCTGCTTTCTGCTGGTTAGGAGTTTAATTTTTAAACAGATCACAGATATGAAAAGACCCCCAAGTGTGTGCTCCTACACCAGCAACTGGAGTCTGTTTATCTAGTCAGCCATTTGCTCCAATTATTAACAACATCCAAATGCAACTATTGTTTCATTTCAAACATTCTTAAAAATTAAAATCACTTTTGTGTTTTTTATGCCCTTACTTGTGCATCACTGAATTAGCATTTCAGTGCCCCCGGCTATGGAGAAAGTGTGAAGTCAAAATGCAGGTTAGGCCAGTTTTATTCATTATCAGTGCAACAAAAGTTATGCATAAAATAAAGGCATAGAAAGATTGAGCAAGCCTTAAAGATGATCAAAATTATGTTTTTCATTAGTTATTTTTCAAAGAATTCACGCATTTGCGAGGATCTTTCTGTGAGCTGCAGAGGGTTTTTTTTTCCTTTAACATATACCCTCCTGTCCTTTGCTTATTTCTCCCTGTGAGATATGTCGCTGAGCTCTGCGTTGTCGTAATTCTATGCCCTGTAAAAAGGTTGGAACGGGGTGCAAGTCAGGAAGAGAAAAGGAGTCGATATACCGATGAAGCCTGAAAGATTACTAAATGCCACTTCCTCTGAGTACAGCTCACAGCACAGAATATACTCCACACACACGGGCACAAACATCTCCCATCTCCAAAGGCATCAGCTGAGCTACTGTCAGAAACATCCAAATAAAAGAATAAAATAAAAGAATTGTAAAAATATGGAGAGACTGAGAGGGAGAGGTCTATTAAACGCTGTGGTTTTCTATTAAACTCTAGTGGAGGCGGGGGAGAAAAGGGGAAGAGAAGTTCACATTATCTAAGAGAATTCCAATTAACACTCTCCCCCTCAGTAATTAGCTACTAAAATAGCTAGCGAACAAACCCAAAATCCCAACCCTGACGCCACCGCGCTGCCTAATTAATTCTCAAATCAGGAGCATCCGATGCAGAAAAGAACCTGATAGTGTAGATGACGGACAGACTGGTCAGAATAAACCACGAGGACTACTGTTAAAGTGTAAATAAAGAATAAAAAAAAGTAAGTAGCTGTCTGTTTTTATTCCATTCCAGTTATCATTTCCGCTACGTTCCTGTGTTACTTCTCTTGTGGACTTTTAAAATACTGTGGTAGACTTACTGTAACAGAACTAGAGAGGAGCTAATTAATAGATACAATTTAGTCAGAGACAAAAGCAAATATAATTTACCTCTATGTGGAATAAGAGTTAAATAAGTGAGATAAAATAAAAGATATGAAATAAAAGAAGCAGCACACTGAGCTACATATGCCGAACAAAATGAAGGGAGGGAGGGAAGGAAAGCTGAAGCGAGGGACATAGCCAGAAAAGCAGATATCTTTTAGCCGTCTGCCGCTCATTTGCTTCCTCACACTGGTCAGTTCTTCCACTGCTTAATGCAAACAGATGAGGCCTTTTCTCGCTCTTTTTCCAAATCCTTTCTTTTTAACGGTGGCTTCTTGGCCTCTGCAGTAACGTCAGCACAGCGTCTATTAAAACAGCATGTGTCCCAGACTGCTACACACACACACACACACACACACACACACACACAGAAACACACATACCCTCTGCACTTGGACGTTTGTTTGTTTTTTTGTGAACTTTTAACCTCCATGAAGTGACATATGGGGCACAGGGGTTCAGGTGTGCCTAAAGTTTTTTTACACACATGGTATATGGATAAAAACATGTACAATCAGAGGTAGGTATCAGTGTAAGCTGTATTAAGATGTCATCTATCTGCAGCTCCTATCAGTGCCCAGTGCTGATGGATAACAAGACAGAGATAAACTCAGTCAGCCAACAACCCACCTGGACACAAGGTGGGCTGTAAGATCTCACTCTAATAAAACCAGCCTAATTCATCTGCTTTTCAATATGCACATGGCAGCCTGTTTCAATTAGTCATCTAACACATACACACATACTCACACACAGCATATGGACTATACAGCAGCTCCAGCAATAGCTTTTAATATATCGAGATACTCATCAGGTAGATTTTACAGCGATTTCTGCAGCCCACACAGGCACAAACACATGTAAATGAAGTCACACACACATACTGTAGACATAATGGCACATTATATAAAAAAACACATGCTGTCACACGCTGATCTGTATCTGGACAAGTCAAACTGTGATAAAGTCACTCTTCAACTACAGCAATCGATGGAAGTAATTTATTTACCTCACCAGGCAATTTCTGCTCTGTCTTCAGAGAAGAGAGAGGGAGGAAGAGAGAGAGGGAGAAAGAGAAGGAGACAGAGGGAGATTTGGCAAGCTTGTGTGAGTGGTGTGTAAATTAATCTAGCAGCAGTGAGATCCAGAGCCATGTATAAGTCCATAAAACAAGAGGAGGTTAAAGCAGCTCACATCATACATACACACATCAGGCAAAGGTCCAACACCAAAACCACTTCTTCCAGAGAGAGAAGAGACATGAAACGTCATCTAGGTTCCATTAATGTGATGTGATATCCCTGGATGCCACTAAAAAGAGGAAAAAAAGAACAGTTAAGAGTTCTTTCTCTTCCTTTTTCTTTATTTCTTGCTTTCTGTCCATTCAAAAGCAACATGCACTGGAGAGGGGCCTGTCCACGGTCCTTAACTTTAACTCAATGAAATAAAAGGCACTTAACTAAGCCTCAATGATCGATACAAACACTGGTGCCTGGTGCGCACACACACACACACACACACACACACACACACACACACACACACACACACACACACACACAGATACACACTTATCCCACCTCCTCAGATGCTCATGCATATGCATGTCCATTGTGATTTATGCATCCTGGCGGGGGTGTGAGCCTATCTGAGAGCAAGGCCAACACACAGGTCAGCTCATTTGTAAATCAGTTGCCTATTTATGGATGTGTATGTGTGAGTGTTTGTGCGTGTATGTGCATATTGGTGGATGTTTGCGCCTAGAAATCTGTGTGTATGTGCGTATGGCTATAGGTCAGTGTTGGAAACAGGCTTATAATCACTGTAGCGCCTTCATTCATTATATTTATTGAATTCTTTCCAGCTTATGCTCTTTGTGTGTGTAAATCATACACGTTCTATACTATGGGTTGCCATCCATTCAGTGTGTGTGTTCCAAGTCATGTCCGCTGAGTGCTGACTACTTCTGCCAACCAGCACTCTGACCCTGCTCTTTGCAGCAGGAAGTCGCCCAACTTTCTGACCTCTCTTATTATTCCCAGGGAAGGCTAGGGAAAAGCCTTTAGAAAAACGCCTTCCCATCAGAGTGGCTGTCAGTTAATGGGGTCCCCATGGTCTCTTCTGTCCTTTGCACTGGATTATGGGTAAAAAAAAATAAGACAAGATCTACACCCGAAGAGGGTGTTAAGGGTTAAACATACGTTAATTTGTGGCATAATCTGAGAATATAGCCTTCTTTGCACACAAAGTGAAGAAAACTGTGTGCGCTTTCCTTTGTGGAAATTCAGTGGTGTTGCTCCACCCTCCTCCCACCTCCTCTGAACAACAGATTTGGGCTAATAGGGCAGCTGCTTGCCCCCCCTCTCCTAAAACCCCGCTATGCTGCTCCCCCTGCAACCCTTCCACCCCTTCTCCCTTCCCAAAAAAAGCCCAGGAGGAAGCCTGTTGTTTTCAACTTGTTTTTGACACGGCTATGAATGGAAAAGTTCCAACTGGAACGCTCATCCCAGAAAAAAGTTGCATTTAATTTGTCCACTATTGAGTGTTACTTAGGATATATTCCATCATTCAAACGATAGCGAAGTAAAGTATAAAACACAGTGTACATGAGGCTGTCTCTTTAGCCACCTATCAATCTATCTATCTAGCTGTCTGTCTTTCCTTTTCTGTTTTGCTACGTTGTCAACCCAGGCAACTGTATCCCAGAAATAAACCCTGCATTAGGTCGGCCAGCAACCATGGTTTGTAACGTCATCACTCACACACAACAGTTTATACTCTCCACGATGCAAGAAAACATCATTTGGAAAGACTACAGCAAGTGCCTGGATATACAAAAAAGGAAATATGAAAATATTGCGAGATATTGCAACACAAAAAAATAACACCAGGAGAAACACTATAAAGATAAAAAACCCTCAAACACACAATCAATCCCTTGTGGTAGGTGTAAGTGAGCTCATAGAGATGTTTCAATGGATTGAAAACTACTGTGAGTGCGCACCCAATCACATAAGACAGCAGGGTCAGACCTCTATGTGTTTTCATGTGTGCAGCAGTGTTTGTTTGTGTGTTAGTGTGTATGTGGGGGGTGTCCATATGTGTAACTGGAGCCAAACTGTAAGCCATATGCCATTCTCCCTCTGGTGCCAGCCAACCCCCCCGCCCCCCATCAGACACACAAAAACACGCAAGCACTCACAAACACACTTACACACACACTTACACACACACACACAGGCTTCCCTGTAAAAAAAAAAGCCCCTCCACTTCATTAGGAAAGTAAACACAAGTGCTGTCTGAAGTGGCTAATTAGAGACTAATTACTCCCTGCTCGTTACTAATGCAAATTAGATTACGCTGCTTAACTTCCTCGTGTCCACAACGCTGCTGTTAATTGAGGCCTTTTGAAATTAAATTACCCGCTAATTAGCATATCAAAACCATTAATTCTGAGCAAGGAGGGGGAAAAAAACAACAACAAATGCCAAGTTTTGCTAATGCGTTTTGCTAATTGAATATGTACGCTCAATACAGGGGTTTGTGCCAGGAATACCTATTCAGCTGATCGGTGTGCACGTACATTTGTGTGCACGTGTGTGCGCGTAAGCAGCCAGACAGAAACACCATGCATCATAAGAGCAGCATATAATTAAAGGAACCATTGCATCCCTCCAAACGCTTTGTCAATATTTCCCTCTGAACGCACGATTCCACTGATGTCCTGCGTGCGGGGAGCGAGGGATATAGCAGAGTCACACAGAGAGAGAGGAGTGTTAGAGGGGATGGATATTCATCTCATGAGAGGCAAAAGAGCCACTGTACGTGAATGTGGAGTATGTGTGTGTGTGTGTGTGTGTGTGTGTGTGTGTGTATGCATGTGTGTGTGTTGCAGTGGTATGTAAGCAGGGTTAGCGTTTGTCCACTCTGTAAGCCTTCTTTGAAGTAAGGAACTGCTGCTCTCCTAAAGCCCTGGACCCCCTGCCAGCTCTTTCTCTGCACCCGACCCCCCCACCCCTTCAACTGGGCCCTCTTCACCTCTGCTACAATACCTGTCCAATTAGGGAAACACACACACATGCACATACATACCCACATACATACACATTTTATGGCCACTAGCAGGTGAAAAGCCCACTATTTCTTTCAATCGAAGCTGAATCTGTTTTTTTTTTTTCTCTCTCTCTCTCTCTCTCTCTCTCTCTCTCTCTCTCTCTCTCTTCTAACTGAATAGATGATTTGAAACTTTGTGGATTAGAAATGGTGAGCATATTCATGGATGGGTCTACCTGCTTATGAATAAGAGAGGAGACACACAGAGAAGCCGGGAGCTATTAGCTACTTTAATCTGCTGACGAAATAAAAGAATTGTACATCTAAAGATCCATCTCAGCTTTGCATGTAAAACCAGCAGAAATAATGTCATTCTGAACGACTCCCCTTTCCCTTTTCCTAAATATCTATCCAATCAGGGTGCGTGAAAAGCCCCATTCAGGTTGGCCCTTATAAAAGTTTCATCTTATTACACTTTCCAACTTCTCATTTCATTATCCCTATAATGGCAGATGAAAAAACGAATGGTAAAATTGAGAGGTAGCCATACAAAAAAATTAAATAACCATGATAATTAGATGTAAAGATATTATAATTCCTTTAACAGGATGCATAGAAACTGCTGCTCGACAATATTTGCCCTAATTGCTAGAATTATCATATTAACCAGTTACCATTTGAGTAACTTGATTAAAAAATTGATTATTCGTCTATTTCTTTTAGGAGTTTCTTAATCAAAATCTTACATCCTTGAAAAATTAATTTGAAGCCGTTTCTTATCAGTTAATTAAATCGGGTTGGAAGTCATTTTTTCTGTGCGGCATGATTAGAACGGTTCTGTTCTCTTCTGTTCAGACACCATGACGTTAGAGGGGGAACTTTTCACTGTCTCATCAAACATTCACAACCACAAGAATAGGACTTCTTTGAAGGGCCTGCCGCCTTTTTTTTTCTTCCAAACCTCTGCCTTTCTGATAAATTGTGCTATACCCAATAGATCTTTCTTTCTCGTTAACACATTCTCATTAACGGACAGAGAAAGCGAAAGGAGAGGGGAGGGGAAGAGAAAAGGAGAGCAGCGAGGGGAGGCAGAGCAGAGTGGAAGGTGGGGGGGGTGGGGTACTACAGGGGGGGAAACAAGAGGTGGGAAAAACAGGGCAGAAAAACAGAACCAAGGCAGAGATCAAGTCAAAGGGAGAAATTAATACACTGACAATTTATTACTACACAATAAAGAAAATTAAATAATGTACAGACAACACAGGGACACACACAACATACAACGCTGCCTGGGTGACAGCCTTGGGGTGGCCTGAGTTGAGACTAAACAACTAAGCCAGGAGCTAAAACAAGACTTCTGTTACTACAGACACAAAATGTCTATCTGACCAATAACTTTTCTTTTTTCTTTTTCATTTAAGTTTGCAATCTAAATATTTTTATTCTATAATAGTACGTGGCAGGTGGTGGTGAAAATTGATTTCCCCAATATTTATATAATAGATTTTTCTGTATCAATTCAAATTTGCAGCTTTAAACGTCACACATCAGAGGGTGACTTCACCTCAGAAAACTAGTTTTCTATTTCTGGAAGAAGACTAATTATAAAGCTCTGCCCCTGGGAAAGAAAAGCCCCTCTTGAAGGAGAGAGGGAGGCAGAGAGTCCATTCAGCGCAGGCATCAGTGGAATATAAGTTTGTCTCTCTCTACTTCAGCAAGCAGCAGAGCAGAACCGAACAGATACAGTGCGCTCCACTCATCTGTCCATCCTCGACTCCTCGGGGAGGTATGGGAGGACTGGAGAGGGAGGGAGGGGGGTTCAAAAGGAGAATTAAAGGAAGAATCAGTGAGGATACAGAGCAGTATGGTGAATCTCTCTGATTGGATAATGAATTGAATGATTATTAGAGCCTGACTAGTAAAGTTACGCAGAATTTCTAACGTCATCAGCCAATCAACACACTCCCTCATCAACCAATCAAACCCTCACCCAGGGGGGTGCGTTGGTGGTGGTGTGTGTGTGTGTGGGGGGGTCCTATTTGCTCTTCCATCTGGCTCTCTCCCCATATTTCTCTCTCTCTTTTTCTTTCTCTTACAACACGTCATCCAGTCTTTGGTACAGCTGCCCTCATCTTTCTCCGTGGGAGACAGAGAATTCTCAAAGCCACAATTACTGCACAGAACTATCAATTTCCCCTTCTATTAACCCTGTGGGAAGAGAGGGGACGAGGGAGAGGAAGGAGAGAGCAGAGAAGGGG